AGGGATGGGGCAGCCACAGCTTCTCTGGGCACCCTGTGCCAGGGCCTCAGCACCCTCACAGGGAAGAATTTCTTCCTAATGTCTCATCTCAATCTCCCCTCTGTCAGGTTAAAGCCATTCCCCCTTGTCCTGTCCCTACAGGCCCTCGTCAGAAGCCCCTCTCCAGCTTTCTTGTTGGTCCCTTTAGGCACTGGAAGCTGCTCTAAGGTCTCCCCTTCAGGAGCCTTCTCTTCTCCAGGCTGAACCAGCCCAGCTCTCTCAGCCTGGCTCCAGAGCAGAGCTGCTCCAGCCCTCGCAGCATCTCCATGGCCTCCTCTTGTTTTGCTCCAACAGCTCCAAGTCCCTCTTGTGTTGTTGCCCCAGAGATGGACACAGGACTGCAGGGGGGGGGGGGGTCTCACCAGAGCGGAGCAGAGGGGCAGATGGATCATCATTACCTCCAGTCCTTGGCCTCAGGGGGAGGTTTTCCTTCCAGTCTGCTGGCTGGAGAGGGGGCTGTTGGATCTTGCTGTCTTACCCCCATGCCTGTCTCAGCCTCTTCCTGTCCTCTCTCCCGCAGGGCTGGATACTGAGAGTTCTGCTCTGATCCTGACCATGGATGACTTCCTGCAGGCTGCTGCAAGGTTGCAGCCGTCTGTCTCTGAGCAGGAGCTGCTCAGGTACAGACTCATCCAGCAGAAGTTTGCTGCCTGCTGATGCTCAGCAGAGCTGGGACTGGAGTGATGGGCACAGCGTGTGAAGGGGTGCTAGGGAGCGGGCACAGGCACCTGCCTGCCTTTCTCTGGTGGATCCTGGGCCCCTTCTTTGGAGCTTGATTGGAAATAGGGGCTCTGCAGCAGTCCCTTGCCTCTCAGAGCACTGTGTGGCTGCTGGGAGCACTCTAGGGCCATTCCCCCCCAGGGTGGAAGCTCAGTCTCATGGTTGTGGGCACTACAGGAGTGTCTCACGGGTGACAGCATTGGCGAGGGAGCAAAGCCCAAACTGCGCCTGGTTTGGCAGCAGGAGCGGGACTGGAGGGAGTTGCTTGTTGGGGTGTCAGCCCCCAGTGAGGGGTGCTGGCTGGAGGGCAGCAGGGCACAGGACACTGCTGCGGCAGCTGGCCTGGCCTCAGCACGGGCTCTCAATAAATACAGCGGTTTGGCACTGGGTGTTCATCGCCTGGCCTCAGGCCTTAGGTCTTTGCTTGCTGGTGGGGTCTGTGGGTCTGGGAAGGTCCCTTGAGCCCCTGGGCTTATTGGGTGTTGTAGAGGAGCCACTGTCCTGCAGGTCGAGGGGAGCACGGCTGCAAACCAGGCTGGGGCCAGCCCCCGGAATGCCTGGAGCCCACGGGAGGTGGGGAGAGGCTGAGGAAGTGGGTTTTCTAATCCAGGAGCTGAGCATCCTCTCGGGTAGCCCAGCTCTTCTCGGAGGTGCTGGGTGAGAGCAGACATGGGGGCAAACGGCAGCAAGCAAAATTCCCGCTGGGTACTAGGAAAAAACATCACTGGAGAGGGAGGGTTCTGGCCTTGGAAATACCCCTTGGCTGGAGCTGCACTGGCTTGTGCTGGGAGCCAGACCCCTTTAGCAGCCCTGTCCCACCTCCTCCCGCAGCCCGCATGTGCCACATCACTGTTCCTGTGCCGTGTGTGCAGCCACGCTGGCCAGCAGCTGCCCCTGCAGCATCCCTGCAGCTGCTGGTGGGGCTTGGGGGCAGCTCTACCTTAAACCCCGGCCCCGGGGTTGTTACAGCGAGGTTTTACCACTGCTGCATACACCAAGGCTGCAGCAGCCGCATCCCTGCGCCGAGCATGGCTGTCCAGGACCACCTCCCCACCCCGCAGGACTGGTTCTCCAGGTGTTCCGTGCATGAGGACCCAGCGCCCTGCTGCTCCGGCACCTGAGCGTGTTGAGGCAGAGCTGTCCCTGACCACAACGCGCTGCTAGACCTGGCCACCACCTCTTCCCCAGGGCGGGCAGGAGGGAGCTGCAGCCGCAGCAAAAGCAGGCTGGGGTGTGCAGAGCCTCCTCTCCCTTGGGGGGGGGGTGGGGGGGTGTGTAGTGAGAGTGTCAAGGGAATGGGTCAGAGCCTGGTTTTGGGAGTGCAAAGGGAGAAAACCAGTTGCACCCATTAGCTGTGCTCAGTGGAGATGAGCAACCACACACACCCGGGAGCCCCAAACCCCACACCACAGGCATCACTGGCCCCTGCAGCTGGGGCTTGGGCTGAAGCTGTGCCTGCACCCACCTCATGCTGCCCCAGGCTGGCTGCTTCTTCCCCTGGGGGTCCTGACGAGGCTGTGGCCGTCCCCTCACCCCATCCCCTGACCACACAGACCACAGGCTCCAGTCGCTGTCACGAGTGTTCTTAATGAAGGGGAGGGGGCTCCCCGGTGGCTCTCGGCAGTGTCCCCGGCCCCGTGCTTGTCCCCAGAGCTGCTGGCAGCTCTCAGCCCACCACGGTCCCATCTCGGTGGCCCACTCAGGCCGTCTTCTTCACGACGTGGATGAAGTAGCAGGGGACGTGGGCCTGCCCCGGCGTGTAGGGCTGGAAGTCGCCCAGGACGCTGTGCTGGCACTTGCCCTGGAAGGCACCTTTCAGCAGGGCTGTGAAGGCCTCCAGCCGGTGCGGGTAGTACGAGAGCCGGAACTTGCTGCGGGGAGGCAGTGCCAGTGAGGTGTGGGGCCAGCAGGACACGGTGCCAGCCAGCCCACGCCACGAGCAACCCCTCTCACCTCAGCTCTGGGGATGCCCCCACCTCAGTGGGGGGGACCTGCACTGTGTAGTCCAGGGTCACCATGTGAGCCTTGTTGTTCACCAGCAGCACCGAGGTGGTGATGTCCTTAGTTAAGTCGCTCTGGGGACCGCAGGAGGATGGCTGTGTGGTGGCTCCCTGGGCACAGCCCTTCTCCTTGGCCTTGCCTCAGCGCTGGGGTTGGGTGGAGGGGAGAGGGACGGGCCAGGGTCCATCAGGCACTCACCTTGTAGTAGATGTTCTTGCCCGGTGGCGCGCAGCCTGTGGCCAGGATGTGGTCGTAGTTGCGGTGGTCAATGACCAGGACACCCCCGGGCCGCACCATGCTGGCGATGTTCCGCAGGGCCAGCTTGTGGTCGCTCTGGTCCCCTGGAGAGGAAACCGTGGCATCCTCAGGCACTGGTTGCACCCCATGGCACAGTCCATGGGGGTTCATCTTGCCCCCCTCTTCCCCTTTCCAGTCTCAGCTTGGGGCAGGCACAGCCCCACCCCATGCTATGAGCTCAGGCACGTTCTCAGCCTCACTGGGACAGAGCATATGGGGAACCCACCACCCTGCTCGTGGCACGAGTCTGGGTGTGCCTCCAGCCTTGCCAGAGATGTGACAAGAGATGCACACAGATAGGACCCAATGGCCCCACTTGTGCCATGAACTGAGGCATGTTCTCAGCCATGACACAGCAGCTCCACTGTGCGTAACCCCCTGCCCCACTCATGGCATGAGTTAGGGCACGCTCTCAGATGTGCACAGGTCCATCCCCCCCCCCCCCCAAAAAACTCACCTTTGAAATCAGGCAGGTGAGCAAAGGAATTCCCCAGGCAGATGACTGCATCAAACCCATCCCCGGGCTTCTCTAGGTCTTTCTCCAGTGTCAGCCAGTTGGCCTCCTCAATGACTGCAGCACAGGGGAGCAGCTGAGGGGGACAGGGACACCCCCCACCTAACCGACAGCCTCCCCTGCACCCCAAACCCTACCCCAGCATCACCCACCCCTTCCTTGGGCCCTGTGGGTACTGGACCTGGCCTGGGGCCAGCGGGCAGGTGAGGGCCATGGCCTGTGCTTGCTGAGCAGGCAGCACCGGCAGGGCCCTGCCCGTCCCTGCAGCGACGCCACCCGGGCAGCGGCACCCGGGGGAGCCGCGGGAAGGGCTCCGGGCGCCCAGCGCCGGGGTGGGTGTTGGTGTCCGCACGCCCCTCCCGGCCACCCCCCCCCGGCCCCCGCACCCCATCGGTCGAAGGGCTCCTCCTTGCGCCGCTCCCAGCGCTCCTTCAGCGCGTACTTGAGCATCTTGTCGCTGGCGTCGACGCTGGTCACCTGGAAGCCCTCCTCCAGCAGCATGATGGAGTCCACCCTGGGAACACGGCTGTCAGCGGGGGCACCGGAGGGGCCCGCGGGAGCGGGGACTTGTGCGGCGAGCGGGCGGGCGCGGAGCCTCACCCGGTGCCGCAGGCCACGTCGAGGACGGAGCGGCAGCGGTGCTGCCGGAGCAGCGCCAGGAGCCAGCTGCGGTACTCGGCCGTGCGGCCCCGCGTGTCCCCGATGTACAGCTGCCACACGCGGGCCGCCCGCCCATCCGCGTACTGGTCCGGCAGCCCCTCCGCCGCAACCCCCAGCGACCGCGTCCGGTACACGCTGTCCACCATCCCGCAACACCGAACCGGACCGGCCCGGCCCCGCTCTGCCGCGCCCCCCTCCGCAGCCACGCCTCCAACCACGCCCCCCTCCGCACAGCCAATCCAGGCCGGCTCCGCCCTCCGTAACCCGCCAATCGCCCCAGCGTCCTGATACACACACCCCCCACACACCGCCCCGCCTCCAACACGCGCCTGCACCAATCCCCACCGTCCCCGCCCCCCTGCGGACCCGCCAATCGCCGCTCTCTCCTACCACACCTCCCAGCCCATTGGCTGGGATTGAACCAGGGGGCGGGGCCAGGGCCTGTTCTCCGGCTGGCGCTCGGCTCGGTGCCCCCGGTGGAGCCTTGTCCGGACACTGCCGGTGAAGCAGCGGCAGCAGCGGCAGCAGCGGCAGCAGCAGCGGCTCCGGGGAGCAAAAAAACGTCTTTATTTACAGTCCCGGCGGGGTGGGGGCAGCGCGGGCAGGGCGCGGAGCCGGCCCCGGGGCAGCACTCGCGGCCTCCCCGCAGGCAGCGGGTCTGGGTGGGCGGCTTCTCACCGGCCGGCACCCGGCCGGCCCAGGGTCGCTCACGCCGTGGCTCAAGTCCCTTCTCGTTCGGTGAGGCCGCGGAGCAGGCAGCCCCGGCGGCTGCATCCCTACAGCTCGTCGGATGGGCTGTGGGTGAGCGGAGCCTCCTCCTGCACCCCGCTCTCCTCCGGGGCTTCCCCTGTGGGTGGGAGGCCATCAGCTCCCTCGCTCTCATCCTTCCGGCCCTTCTTCTTCTTCTTCCCGCTCTTTTTCTTGCCCTGCCTCTCCCCCACGCTTGCCAAGTCGCCCTTCTTGCCAGTCCACTTCTCTGCCAGGCAGCCTGGGAAGAAGAGGAGGGGGGGGCGCTGAGGGAGTAGCGGGGATCCCCGTGCCCTAGCGGGGTTCCCCTGCCCTCCCCCTAGCAGCCCTGTGCTGCCCAGGGCACCAGGCAGGACTTACTTGTGTCCTTCCCTTTCAACACGTGGTTGGCACAAAGGAACTGGGAAAGGTCCTCTGCCTGGTGGTGCCTGTACCAGTCCTCGATCACGTCTTCGTACTCCTCCACCAGCACATCGCACTAGCGCAGAGAAGAACCTGGCTCCAGCCACGTGCCACCACGGCAGGACCAAGGAAGCAGGGCCTGGTGACACCCCCATTCCCAGACCCTCAAGGCCAACGGTGGCTGCCGAGGGTCAATCCCACTGAGCCAGGTACCTGCTTTTTGAGGTCAGCCACCTCGGCGGAGGTCTCGTTCCACAGCTCATAGGGGATGTCCATCACCACCTTGACGCCCTTGTGCACCAGGTTGTGCAGGGTCTCGAAGGTCTCTGACATGCCCTGGAGGAGCAGCGGTGCTTGGTCAAACCTCGCTCCTCCCATCACTCCCTCCCGAGTAAAAGTGATGGAAACCACAGTGCTCCTTAACATCTCTGCACTCCTTACACTAACAATTATTCTCACACCAAGACTCCTCCCCCTGCTACCAAGACACTTCCAAACCTCTCCAGCTACCACCACTCTCGCTGTTAGAGCAGCCTTTCTAACCAGCCTAGTACCAATAGCACTACTTATGCACTTGGAGTCAGAAAGCATCGTCTCCCACCGAGGATGACAATTCATCATACATTTCAAAATCCCACTTAGCTTCAAAATAGACCAGTAATACTCATTATTCCTCCTCATTGCACTGTTTGCAACATGAGACACAGCATCAGAACCATACACGACAATGTCTTTTTCCTTGTAGCTGTAACTAAAATCAACCACTGTAAACAACCTATTTCTACTAACCATAGGCTGAGTCAGAATCACATCATTCCTCTCATGGGCAGATGGCAGGGCTGCGCAGAAGCTAACACAGCAGCCCTTCAAGCCGTGCTTTACAACCCAATTGAAGATACTGTCCTTATCATGGCACTACTTGCCTCGACCAGAAACACCTGAGCAATACAGCAAACCTGCTCATCCACAGAAACCCCAACAATTCCCTGCAGACCTGCCAAAATCAGGGTCCTGGGGCATCAGCGTTGCCAGGAGGGAGTCCCCATCTGCAAACCCAGTCCCCAAACCAACAGGAAGACACAGGCAGGGCATGACAGCCCCTGGCTCCCCCTGTGCAGCACCCACACCTCACCTGGGGGGAGCACAGCACTGCATGCCAAGCACTGCCAGGGGATGGGAAGGAGCCCCAGTGCAGCACCCGGCAGGCAAGGGGACTACTGGGGACTGGAGCACAGCCCTCACCTTTGCAAACCTGTTGCTGCCGCTCCGCTCCTTGTGCAGGTTGTAATCCAAGAGCCGCTTGCAGATGTTCTCTGTCACCTCGATTAACCGGATGTCCCTGCATGGAGAGGAGGGAGGGCTCGGGCTCAGCACAGCCCCCCAGAACCAAGCACGGCACAGGTGATGGGGAGCTCCCCATAGCCTGGCACAGTTTAGCTTCCTCAGCCCCTCCACAGGCTGCCCAAGCCCCTGCTCTGCCTTCTGCAGCAGTGACTGCAGGAGAACCCCCATCCTGCTCTCACTTACGACTGTGTGTACTTGACGGCAGCGCCCTTCCCGTCCAGGAAGCCGTACTTGGTGTCAATCACTTCCTTGGTCTTGCCGGTCTCCTCGAAAGCAGATTTCAGCTCCACTGCCACGTACTTGCACACTGTGGGAAGGAAAGCAGGGGTTAGGAGGGGTTTGGAGTGTGACACAGCAGCAGAAACAAGCACGGGAGTCAGGCAGACTGAAGCCACTATGAGCAGAAAGAAGCCTCAGCCACTGGAATAAATAACTGGGAATGGCCCAACCAATTCCACTGGAGCTCCACTGAAGCAGGAGCACCTGAATGGTGTAAGCTATGGCACAACTGGAAGGCAGAGCCCATTCTGCCTGCTGGTTGCCAAACAGCTCCACTGCTCAGCCATCAAAGCCTTTGCACTAAAAGCTGCTCCCTTCCTCCTGGAAGAGGACGGGGTCTTTTGGCAACATAAGCCTCAGCTCCTCCTCATGACACCAGGGTATCCCATCCTGTAACAGTTCTCCTAGCGCCTTGGGGTCATAAGGGCAGTGTTGGGGACCAAGCAGCAGGACAAGATGGTGGCTATGGACTGTGTCACCAAACAAAGGGCTGTCTCAGAATCCCAGACTGGTTTGGGTTGGAAGGGACCTTAAAGCTCATCCAGTTCCAAGCCCCTGCTGTGGGAAAGGGACACCTTCCACTAGACCAGGTTGCTCCAAGCCCCATCCAACCTGGCCTTGAACACTGCCAGGGATGGGGCAGCCACAGCTTCTCTGGGCACCCTGTGCCAGGGCATCAGCACCCTCACAGGGAAGAGCTTCTGCCTAAGAGCTCATCTCAGTCTCCCCTCTGTCAGGTTAAAGCCATTCCCCCTTGTCCTGTCCCTACAGGCCCTTGTCAACAGCTCCTCTCCAGATTTCTTGTCACCCCTTTAGGCACTGGAGCTGCTCTGAGGTCTCCCCTTCAGGAGCCTTCTCTTCTCCAGGCTAAACCAGCCCAGCTCTCCCAGCCTGGCTCCATAGCAGAGCTGCTCCAGCAGTTGCAGCATCTCCATGGCCTCCTCTGGACATGCTCCAACAGCTCCACATCCCTCTTGTGTTGTTGCCCCCAGAGATGGACACAGGACTGCAGGGGGGGTCAGGTCCATCCACACTGCCTGTGGCACTGCCTGCAGCTGAGACCACAGCACCAACAGCTTTGAAACATAGAGCAGATTTTCTTTTACACAACATTAAAAAGAACAAAAGTTTTATTTCTTCTGTACCAGAGTCAAACAGAGCCATAGAAACAGAAATCAGAAGAGAAATATCCTGGTGATTTACAAGTGGAAATGTGGAGGGATGGAAGCCAGGCATGTTGTGGTTCTTCGTTCCCCAAAGCTGGGCTCCCAGGAGGCTGGAGAAACCTTTGTCCTATGCTGCGGACTCCTGTTTGCCAGGAGCTGCCTCTTCTTCCAGTCCTGCTTTGGGAGAAGGCCCGAATCCCAGCAGGAACAGTCACCAGCAGCCAGCTGCCAGATCTTCTCCCAGGCCGTGATGTGAATAGAGAAGGAAGGAAGACAGCGAGGTAGCTTCTGCAGGCTGCCACCACATAATGGATGCCCTGTGTGCACCTCTTGCACTTCCCTTTCTCTGCAGGCGCTAGGGGCTGGAGGTGACTGCAGCCATTTCTGAGGTGGGACAAGTGCTCCTTCATGCAGCTCCTCTGGCCTCGAGGTCACCCCTCTTCCCATCACACCATGTGTGCCAGGAGCACTTGCTGCTGGGTCCGGTTATCCAGGTGCTGCTGCTGCCATCACCGTGTGCTGACAGGCTCCAGCCTGGGCAGGAAGAGGAGCAGTGCGCTCAGCACCCACTGTGGTGCTCCTCTGAGGTTATGCTGGTGCCACCACACGGCTCCCACATCCCTGTCCCCAGAGCCGCTTCCCTGGCAGGGAAAGCTTTGCAAAGAGCTCCAGAGGTTCATTTCTCTTTGCTGCCAACCTCCGCACGCCCTACACGGCAAAGACAGAGTAAACCACGAAGGTCCGCCATGACCTGCCCCGGATTGCCTGTGAAGCCGTTGACTGTCCAGGGAGGAAGCACCACCGAGTCCGAGCGGTAAGTGGAAGACACCACCAGCCCCGTTACACGCCGCCCTGCGGCCAGTGCCTACCGGGAGCACTCTCTAACCGGCGGAAGGGCAGCAGACACCCGCCAGCAGGGACAGGCCGCGGGAGGCTCGGCTCTGCCCCGCCGCGGGGGCACCGGTGGGCACGCAGCAGCAGCGGCCCCGTGGCTCACCCGTCTCCCGCATCGGCGGGGCAGGGCAGAGGGGCAGCCCGCAGCCTCCGCGCAGGGAACCCCCCCGGCCGGAGCACCGAGCCGCTGCCATGCGGCCTGCCCTGGCCCCGCTTACCCTCGCACTTGCTGGGCAGCCGCACCCAGTCCGAGTCGTCGCCTCCCGCCGCCGCCACCATCAGCAGCAGCGCTGCGGCCACCGCCGCCGCCATGGCTCCACTTCCGGGGACCGCGCTTCCGGGCGCACTGCGCCCACCCCTCAAGGTAACCATAGCAACCGCGCAGCGCCGGCCAATCGCAGCGCTGCGCGTGGTCGGACCGGCCAATCCCGTCCCGCCATTCCGGGCGCCAAGCCGAGCGCGCACAGAGCGGGGCCCTCCCGGCCGCCGTAGACGCGCCGCCGGGCTCCACGTGGCTGGCGGCGGTGCCGCTACGGTCCCCGCCACCCGCAGCACCACGGCAGCCCCTTTCTCTTCCCCAGCCCCATGGTTCCCCCCCAGAACACGGGGGCCCTTCCTCCCCCGACTGGGGGTGCTCCAAAGGCCAACCCAGCACTCACCTCTCAGCTCTGGGCAAGGAGAACGGAGGTGAAGAGGGCACTGGAGAGCGCGACCTTCAGCAGCACCACCCGCACGGCCACGAGCAGGGCTGTTGAGGCGTGGAGCAGCGGCACTGCAATGGAAGGGGCAGGGTGATGCCTCCCACAGGCACACTGCTGCCCCTCAACATCCCCTCCAGGGCTGCAGTGGGGCCAGTGTCCCCAAGACTTCAGGCCCAGCAGCCTCCCCAGGGCCTGTCATGGGCTTTTGCCCACCCTCACAACTCCCTAAGACACCTTGTGACACCCTCACGCTGTCCCTCTGAGCCACTTTCTCCCTCCTCCTCACTAAGAGCTTCACCCCCTCTTCCCCAGCCCCACCACACTATGGGGACCCACCCTGACCACCCCATGATCCCAGCTGGGTCCCTGCCAATAGCCCAACGGGTTTCCTCTGTGACAACAGACATCCCCACCATTACATGGACTGGAGACTCACCAGCCATGTTGCTGGGACACAGCTCTGCCACCTCTTCATTGCCTGGGGGATGAGAGAGCAGCTGTGGAGGCACCAGGTGTGAGGCAGGGCCCACCGCAAACCCCTTCCTGTGCCTCTTCGCTGAAGCAGCAACGTTGGCTTGTGGGGCCTCACACCTGCTCCTGGATCCCGCATCCTTGGAGGGCACCATGGTGCTGGGCAACAGCACCAAGGCAAGCAGATGGGGTATTGGGGGGGGGGGGGGGGGGCATACCCGTGATGGGGATGGGGCTGGAGCTCTGGGCCGGGGAGGTCGTGGTGGGCCCCACATGGCAGGCGAGATCCCCCTCAGCTGGGAGGTCATCAGGGAGGAGGGAGACAGTGCAGATGGTTCCACCGTCCTCCTGGGAGGCCCCGTAGGAAAACGACTGCAGGATGCTGCCATTCCCACCGGAGATCCAGACGGCATGGCCGGAGCCAGGGGTCAGCTCGCTCACCACGCAGACCACCAGCCGCCGGTGCTGCCCGGCCACCTCCATGCTCAGCGGTGGGGCCAGGGTGGGCAGCGGCCCAGCAGCCCTGCCAGCTGTAGGGACAGGCGTCAGGGGGGCACCGTGTCCCCTGCACATCCCACCCACCACACTCGCCCTTCACTCCCTGCCTGGCTGTCCCTCCCGGGGGTACTCACAGGGCAACAGCAGGAGCAGAGCGGCAGCCACCAGCACCCAGGGCACCTCCATGGCAGCCGCAGCGGGCTGCCGAGGGTTCAGCCCCCAACCACGGCCCATCACCTGGCATCGCGGCGGGGCGGCCGCCCGGGCTGCGGGGACTGGCTGCTGTTCCCCGCCTCCCCTGCAATGGCACCGCCTGCGTCCCCTCCAGCAGCAGTGGTACCGCCGCTCCCGCCTCTCCTGCAATGGTAGCGCCCGCTTCCCCCTCCCCGGTGGTACGGTCCATCCGCACCGTCTCCACGCCATGCAGCAGGCCCCGGGTCCGGTCCCCGCCGCGCCGCCGCCCTCCCCGTCCTTCGCCGAGGTGCTGCGGCTGGTGCAGAGCGGGCAGGAGCCGCCGGGGGTGCGGCGGCCCCGGGCCTCGCCCACCGGGGACACCCCCACCGCCTCCCGCCTGCCGCCGCCCGCCAAGCCCTGGGAAGGGCGCCCCGCGGAGCCCGCCCTCACCCGCGGCCCCCAGCACGGCTCGGCACACAGGTGATTAGAAACGTACAAAAGAACTCTTTAACGGGCACACAGCTCCGGGGCCGGCGGCCGCCGGGAAAGCAGCTGCAGCAGGGGACGCGGCGAGCTCCTGTCCCACCGTGTCCATGCGTTCCAGCCAGGCTGGAAAGCCCTCTGCTTGCTGCTGCTTCAGCCAACGCACCAAAAAGCCGCCTGCGGTGCTGCACCAAGCCAGGCGCTGGGCTCAGCGACACCAAACGCTCCTCGGGTCAGGCCTGGCTTGGCCATGCTGGTCTCTTGGGGTCAAGGCTGCAGCTTCATGCGGTTAAAGTCGGTGCCTCCTTCTTCATGAGTTTCAAGGCACATAGTGTTGAAATAAAGCAAAGTAAAACATGTCTGATCACTTTAACACATACCCATCATTCAGGCATACGTTTTGCAAGGATTTTTCTCCGAAAACCAAAAGTTTATCTCTTTTTTTCCCATAATTTCCAGCATTCACTTCATGCCGTTTTATGACTTCTTCATTTTTGCAGCTGCAGCCAGCGCTCAGAGAACGAAGAACCCGCACCGCTCTCAATGCAGCAGCCTGGTGGGAGCAGTGATATTGCTTGATTTCCTTATGCCTGGTGCCCGTGATCCTTTAGGAAGTGCAAATGAACTTCAGCAGAGCTGTGTTTCCTCACCACACAGCTCAGCGACCGCCCCGTCGCAATACCAACACCAAATTAATCTTGCAAACATTGAAGAACCTGAGAACTGACTTAACACTTGAAACCCGCACTGGGGCAGAGGCAGGACCGACCTGTGCTTCCTCCCTGCCAGCAGCAGCATCGCCGTGCCTGGGGACAGCGCTACTCCACGTTGAGCTTTGTTTTTATGTTCATGGCTGCCAGCTCTGCCACGAAGTACCGGAAGACGTGGGGCACAGGGACCACCTCGATGGAGTCCACCCCGCTGCAGACAGAGCAGGAGTACCTCCTGCTGCTTGGCATGGAGGACTGGGGCTGTTTCTCCAGCACAGGAGATGTCATGCTGCTGCAGCTCGTGCAGATGTAGGCGATGGAGCCATCGGAGCAGTTGAACAGCCGGTCTTGCAGCAAGAAGGAGGTGCCGTGAGCCAGCAAAGCGTCTCGTTCCATCTCACCGAAGCGAATCCCACCTTCCACGTTCCTCCCCTTGACAGGCTGGTTGGTGACAGCGTCTCGGGGCCCCGTTGTCCTCACCTGGAACTTGTCTGAGACCATGTGGCGCAGGCGCTGGTAGTACACCACTCCCACAAAGATCTCTGCCTCCAGCTCCAGGCCGCTGATGCCACTGTACATCTTTTCCGTCCCAAAGAAGTTATAACCAGCACTCACTAAAGTCTCACCGAAGTACTTCAGAGCAGAGTTCTTCTCCGTGAAGGTGAAGGGAGTGGCATCATAGGAGACGCCGTGCAGCGCTGCTGACTTCCCCGCCATGCTCTCAATTAGCATCCCAATGGTCATGCGGGAGGGAAAGCCGTGAGGGTTGAAGAGGATGTCTGGAACCATCCCGTTCTCCGTGAAGGGCATGTCCTCCACTGGCCAGAGCTGGCTCAGGATACCTTTCTGTCCGTGACGGCTGGCGAATTTGTCTCCAATGGTTGGATTCCGGGGAACCCTCACGGTGATGCAGGCCTTCTTGAACTTCCCAGTGCCACGGTCGTTGCTGCATAACCTGACGTTGTCCACAATGCCGACTTCCTTACTCCTGTGTAGGTGGGAAAAACAACCACAGCAAAGGGGTCAGGGAGCTGATTTACCGTTCTGGAAAAGTATGACTCAGTAGCCAGGGAAATCAGACTGCATGAGCATGAGGGCAAGGAAGCAGTTCAGTGGCATCTACACAAGTGCCATTAAATTGCTTTTTCTCATACTATAAGCACAGCTACAACTTCCAGGTGATTTAAAATAAAGCTCATTTGAACCTGGTTTATCTGTATCCTACTTTATCTGACAAACTGCATCCCAGTGCCATGTGCTTTGTGTTAAGGCAGCAGCCCTTCTCCCTGAAGGAGCTGGGGGATTTTTTTGGCAAATGGGGGACAGGAGCCAGCACTGAGAGCTGGGAACCTCATGCTTTTATAGGAATTCTAAATAATAATCAGATTTGGACCACGAATGAACAAAAGCTGGATAGCAGAAGTAAAATGTCTCTCTGGATAAGGAACCTGAACTAAGGCTGGGCTGCCACAAGACAGCTGGGAGCAGAAGCATAGGGTGAGAAAGCTAAAGGGCTCCACAAGGGCAAGGACAAAGCTGAGCTTCCACATCCCCACTACCATGTGCTGAATTTCCTTGCTCTGCTCTACAACCAGGATGACTGAGCAGTCATCCACAGCAGTCTCCTGGGCACTTAAGGCACTGTTAGAGCAACAAACAGCTTTTCCAGTAAGACCACTCCGTGTGTTACTCAAGTTCTTCTCAAACTGATTCGCCTCCCTAACGCTACACAGCATTATCCTCACTCTATCAATGCTACAGAGACACATATAAGGCCTGAAGTTGTACAGAGCGCAGGATGCACTTAAATATATGGGTTTGTCAATGTTTTTGTTTCCCTTTCCTGAAAGAATTAAGAGAGTTTAAATGAAAGCCTCAGCAGCCTTCCCTCAGTCAGTGGAAGTTCAAGAACAATCTGACAGAGCTTATCCCTGAAATATTCCAGGGCAGAGGAAGGGATGTAGCTGATGCATTTTAATACACTAGCAGTTTGGAAGCTGCCGTGTTAATAGAAATGCTCTTTAAGCTCCTAATGCTGTAACAACTTAGAATCCTAGAATGGTTTGGGCTGGAAGGAACCTTAAAGCTCATCTGGTTCCAACCCCCTGCCACAGGCAGGGACACCTCACACTAGACCAGGCTGCTCCAAGCCCTGTCCAATCTGGCCTTGAACACTGCCAGGGATGGGGCAGCCACAGCTTCTCTGAGCACCCTGTGCCAGAGCCTCACCACCCTCAGAAGAATTTCTTCCTAATATCTAATCTAACTTTGCTTCCAAGTTTTTTCTGGTGAGTCTCTGGGATCAGGCACTTTGTTCTGGTTTTCTGTTTGGTGGTTTTTTGGCTGTTTCTTGTTAAACAGAAGCCCTCATGTGAATCAATTCATAAGAAGCTACAGAAAATGACTACAGGGGTTGGGCAGGGGAACAGTCCTTGGAGACTGTGAAACATTTCTGCAAGCTCTTTACTGGCCTCAGATTCTCCTCCTGGGATAAGAAGCTCTGCAGCATACACTGGCTTAGAGAAAAGCTGTGACACATGCATGGGAGTCACCTACAACATGAACTTCACACTCTCTCTGTCAGGACATGGACACTATCACGTGAGAAGGGAAGGGAACATCTGGAGGAGAAGATCCTGCAGCTCATCAGGACCAACTGCTCTCAGACTGGTGTGTAGAGCCAAGAGGGACAAGCTGTACTTACGAATAGTACACAGTGAAGGTCTCCCCTGTGGTGAGGTTCATGAAGCTGTAGAAGGGGTCCCCAGGCTGTAGGATGGAGCCAACAAAAGGCAGTCCATCAGCGTCCAACTTCTCTGTAACGTTCAGGTCACCAGGCTTGATGCCAAAGACTAAATTATCGCCTGCCCTGCTGGCTTTAAGGGAAAGGTCAATGCTCTCCATCTTGATAACGCTTCCATAGGCAAACCCTCTCTGCCAGGAAGACTTGTTCACGATCTACAAAGAAACAACAAAGGCTTGTTAAAGACTCGATGGTAACTGCAACACAAAAAGCATTTCCATTCTGACCTGATGCTCACCTTTTTAACATTGTTTTCCTAAACAAAGCCTCCCAGCAAGTCACTGTTCCAAAAGGCCCAAACCTCCTGGAACCCCAGGATTTCTCAATGCCTTGCCCAAGGGAGCTCCACTCTATTCTCAGTACTTCCAGCATAACCTGCTGTAACACTTAACCACTGTGCTCCTACATCTGTATTTACAGAGCCTGTGGACTAGCAGAAGCAGAAAACAGGCTCTCCTCAGTGAGGTACCACCCTTCCTCCCAAGTCCCCAGCATCCTCTACAGGACAGCAGGAGTTCTCCTTCAGTGCCTTACCATTGCATCTTCCATGTCATAGCCACTGTAGGAGATGACAGCCACAATCGAATTGGTGCCAACTGGATAGCTGTCCATCCCATAATAGTCATACATGCTGGGCCGCACCAGGGGGCTCTGGGGAGTGTGAAGGTGGTACAGCTTGTTATCTGAGCGATCCTTGTAGTTATAAACTGGAAACCCCATGGTTTGCTTTCCTATAAAGAAAGTTAGATTTATCCAGGATCAGCTCAAAGTTAATCTGTTTCATCCCCCATGTACCTGGTTAAGAAGAAAGCTAGAAATACTTACAATGTAAAGGGGTAACCAATCTTAAAACTCTTGGAATTTAATAACTGCTCAAAATCCAGCTATAAAAGGTTCTGTGAACCACAACACTCAATTCCTTTCGTAGAATTTCCTAAGGACTAGTTGTAATTTTGTGTCTTTCCTGCAATTCCAAAATCTCCAGTGAGGTTGGTATGGTGTGGTTTGGGTTTTTGCTTCCCAGAGTTTCCCATAGTGAGGCACGCCTTACATATGTCCAGGCTAGAAAAGTGTTTCCTTGTGCAGTATAAATGTACTGGCAAGGAAAGCAAGTTTTGAGCAACAGTCACATTGCTACTTCAGAAAACTACAAAAAAGTAGTAGCAGTTT